ATGGCGGAAACATTCTACCTTGAACAGTATCACAAAACAATAAGAGATATTTTATTGCATTTGTGTGTAAGATACTCTTGTCAGTTTTCACATACCATTAGGTTTAATCACTTTGAGGTATATTATATAACTTGGATAGATTGATTTGTAAGATCTGCACTTGCTAAGGACATGTGAATACTATATATACATATACATTATATAATGTGTATATGTGTATGTATATATCTATATTATGTGTGTATGTGTATATGTATTTGTAATGTAGAATTTCTTTAGCACCCACAATGAATCAGTTGTAAAGTTTGACTCAATGTCTTTTTAAAGCTACTTGACATTTACTCTTTTCCTCCTCCACAACAGTTATTTCATGAAGTAGAATCCCTTAGAGAGAAAATATGATTTAATATTAATATAGATATAAAACCAAAAGAAACAAAATACATGCATTTGTACTAAATTGAGAAATGCCTTTGCTAATAACCCATATAACTATTGCTAAAATATAGTGTATTTTAGTGAAATTTAGCATAATATTTCTTAAGGAAAATATATTTCTGCCTTTTTTATCTAAATGAAAAATATAATCAATACATTTTAATAAATGTATAAATATGAAATATTTTTAATGTTTAAGTTTTCATTTCCTAGAAAAGTAGGACAATTATTTATATATTGTCTGAAACAATGCAGAGTATCATCTACTGGCATCATCCAGTCATACTATTCATATTAAGTATCTGACTAAGAACATGCGTGTATATGGAGCTATATTTACAAATACAAAGACATGTATTCTCCTTACAGAAGACGATCTCATTTGATCATTAATCCAAATACCCATACGCATATGTGCACATTTTGTGCACATGTATTGTCACACATTTCATTTAATAACTCACTAGTATACATGGAAAATTTAAGCAAATTTATCCCTGGAGATGACGCCAAACATCTGACATACTATACATATAAATCAAACACAGTACGCAAACTGAAAAGAGAAGTTTCAACAGTTTTAAAAAATAAACAAAAATAGGCTGTGCGTGGTGGCTCATGCCTGTAATCCCAAGACTTTGGGAGGCCGAGGCAGGTGGATCACCTGAGGTCGGGAGTTCAAGACCAGCCTGACCAATATGGAGAAAACCCCACCTCTATGAAAAATACAAAATTAGCTGGGTGTGGTAGCACATGCCTGTAATCCCAGCTTCTCGGGAGGCTGAGGCACAAGAATCACTTGAACCCGGGAGACAGAGGTTGTGGTGAGCTGAGATTGAGCCATTGCACTCCAGCCTGGGCAACAGGAGCAAAACTCCATCTTAAAAAAAATAATAATAATACTCTCACCCTTCACTAGGTGCCAGAGAAAAAGCATCAGATCACTTCTACACGTTGAAATCCAGGAAATGTAAATATTAAAACATGAAACTGAAAATAAAGCAAAACTAGTAATTAATTTGTAGACATTTTAAGAAAACATTTTTTCAAAGTATTTGGTGTGAATTGGAACAATTACATATGTGTTTCTTGGGTGCTGCCAATTGAGTCCTAAAGTGAGCAGCATCAATTTTACTGGAATATATACTTATGTCTTTTGCCAAATTGTTTATTTGTGAACCATAATATGGAAGACAAAAATTTAATTTTGTCATTTCAATCTTGTTTTATCTTTCCACAATCTAGTTTTTAATTTGCTCCATTGCCATTATCAGCAGCAGTATTTTTATTGCTATGTAGGTATTTTATATTTTGAAGTTTCTTTTCCAACAGGTTGGATTAATTTCCTAGGGCTGCTACAACAAAGTACCACTAACTGGGTGATTTAAAACAAGAGAAATTTATTCTCTCATGGCTCCGGAAACTAGACGTACAAAATCAAAGTCTAGCAGGGCCATGCTCTCCCTGATGGTTTGTTCTTCATTTCATCCCATCTCTGTCCTTTTCAGTCCATGTTGGCAATGTTTCTGTTAGTATAAAATTCTCAAAAACTTTGTTCATCTTCCGTGTTGACAAGATCAACAATAGACAACATAGTTCTCTATAGATCCTTCCTCAGTAACTCCTTCTCTAATCCTAACCACTGTTGAAATTGTGGCTTGGATCCATAAGTCACTTGCTTAATCTCTTTAGCAAATGGTTGTTGAGCCATGCCCTTGACTCTGTTTCCAAAGCATGCTATCTGATTGACAGCTGAGAATTTTTCAAATCAAGTGCTGCTTCCTTTTTCCTTAAGAGTTAATTCCTCAATTATTCTCTTTTCCTTTAATTTATTTTCTCAATTTTCTTTTTCTCAATTATGTAATTTTCTCAATTACAAAAGTAACTGCAGCTTTTGCCATTAAATAAATTGTCAAAAATGCAAGTACTTTTGCACCTAGCTAATATAAGCATCAAGAAGAGTAACCACATCACACACATCATACTTAGCTTGGAGATCTGGGCTAAGTATCCAAGTTCATCACTTACAAGTTCTACCTTCTACTTAGTAGTAGATCACAATTTGGCAAAGTTTTCTGCCACTTTATAACAAGGATTGTCTTACTTTCAGTGTCCAAAATTATTTCAATTTGAGATCATTTCCATTTATGACTATATATACGTATATATATACGTACATAGTCATAAAAAAACTTTCTCTGTAGCTTTGTTTGTGATATATGACCATTTGCGTGTGTGTGTGTGTGTGTGTATATATATATATAGTCATAATAAAAGCTTTCTCTGTAGGTTTTCCTTTGCTTTTTTCTGAGCCCCTAGCAGAATCAACTTTAATGTCATCATTTCCTTCAATAGTACATTCAAAACAATGTAGGCTTTTTCTATCAAGTACTTCAAAGCTCTTTTAGCTTCTACCCACAGCACAATTCTAAAGCCATTTCTGCATTTTTAGATATTTTTTATAGCAGCACCTCACTTCACAGTACCAAAATTAGTAATGGTTTTCTAGGGCTGTTATAACAAAGTACTACAAACTGTGTGGCTAAAAATAACAGAAATTTATTATCTCATAGTTCTGGTGGCTAGAAGTCCAAAATCAAGGTGTCAGTAGGACCATGCTCTGTCTTGTGGTTCTAGGAGAGGACCTTTCCTTGACTCTGGTAATTGCCAGCAATCTTAGACACACTTCAATCTCTGTGTCTATGGTCCCATGATGTTCTCCCTATGTGACTGTCTCTGTGTCTCCGTTTTCCTTCTTACAAGGACACAAGTCTTTGGATTAAGGCCAACTCTAATCCAGTATGACCTCACCTTAAGTAATTACATCTGCAGAGACCCTATTTCCAAATAAGGTCATATTCTGATGTTCTGGGTTTACATACATTTTGGGGTGGGGGTCAGTATCCAATCAAGTACACAGCCTATAGCTGTTTTTTCTTCAAATTGGATGAGATCAATTTTTCTGATTAAAGGAGTTGTGTACTTCATGTGACTGCTTATATTATTTTAAAAATATGTGACATATTTTGAATATATCTAAATACATTAGATATTGACGATGGAGTTGGGATTATTATCAAGTAAATGTAAAGTGCCTTCTACATAGTAAAATGATTAATGGATATTAAAAAGTCTTATTGTTGGTAGGATTGAAAATCTAAGAGGGTCATGTTATATGCTGAAAAGACAAATGAGTTTGGTAACAAAGTAAGAATATATGAAGGTCGTAGACTTTGAGCTTTTTTCATATGTATTTGGCAAGAACTAGTGCTTTTTCAGAATTTCAAGATGAACATAACAAGGTAATTTACAGATTATTATTTTTCCCTAAACAAACATTCAATATATTCTGTATTCTCTTTACTCTGTTAAATATTACAATAGTCATCATTTAAATGTGTGTGAGGCAGACTTATTTTCAGGTGTTTCCATCTGTTGTGAGAGTATACTTTAAAAATAGGACAGAAACTTACACAAATTAAACACAAAGCCAGGGGAAAAAGAAAAGAATGAAAGAAACATCCCCAGGGCAACAGTGAGAAAAAAAACATTTGAGCTACTTGTTATTAATTGCTCAACCTGTTTTACCTTGGAATCCTACATAATTATATTCCAGGGGACGGGCAAACAACAGATGTTGAATAAAGGTTGAATCTCAGAAAATGAGACTATTTTAAAAATAAAGTTACTCTTGCTCACCAACAGGCTTTTTTTTTTTTTTTTTGGCAGGACTTTTAGGCAGCAATTGATTTCTCATATTCACCATGCATTTGTGCATTTCAATAACATTAATGCAAAACAAAATGTTCTTTTTTGTTTGTTTTAGTCTAAGAAGAAGATCAAATATACATGTACATAATATATCTAAGTTAGAGGCTCATAAAAAGCAAAACAAAAACAAAAGCAAGAGTATATCACAGCATTTTCTTAATGTTGTATTACATACATGTTTCACATCAGGTAAAAAAAATTCTCTATGTAATATATATATATATTTCTCATTGCTAATAGTCAGTACATTCTTAAATTAGGTGACTGAGTAAAGGGCTAAATTACAAATAGTCTCTTGTTTCAAGTTCTAGACAGCATATATTGTATAGTTAACATTAAGATTCAGTACACATTTTTATTAAAAAAAAAAAAAAAAAAAAAAAAACCTTGGTAACTAGGGATATTATAGAATAGTTTGTGACTTTAATTTTTGGGGCCTGCTTGTTCACATATTCTATCGACTATTGCAGAAAATGATTTGATTTAAGGTAAATGAATGCATCATCATGAGTGTATTTCTCCCATGGACCTAGGAATACACCTGGTTACTTTGCACTGTTTTCATCTCATCTAAACTTAAATACCCCCAGAAAAGTAATTTTCTTCCAATAAGACTAAGTCTTGTGTAGCTGGGGAAATACCAATGACCATATCTTTCATGATGATATTCATCATTCTAAGGAATTTTAATATAAAAGTTAAAATCAATAGAGAAGGATTCGTAATTCATTTGGCCCTTTTTCCTACTTGTTTTTTTCTATTTGTTAACTAAAAATATTTTATTTTTCAAGCATTCCCGACTTTGCTTTCCTTTGCTATCCTCACCCTACACACCATCACAAGTAGACTTCAGTCTGTTGATCTGCTTCCTCCAGGTGAGCAATTTCTTCATCTGCTAGCTTTCTTCTCTGTGATCCAAATTTTACTTGTTAGATGATAGCACTCATAAAACTATACATTTACAAGGCAGAACGTGTGGACCTTATTTCTTTAAAGGAAAATAGCATAGTAAGTGAGTAATTTTCTTTATTGTTTCTTCATTAATGCTCTTACTATTTCAGGAAAAGCTGTATAGTGTTAACGGTTGAAACAAGAATCTAGTCTTACACCAGGTTTTTCATATTTGTTATTCTTAAGTGAGTTTAAGTGGGCCAAATCATAATTATTTCATATTTTGAAAATTCTACCACTTATATTAATTTCACTTACGATATAGTGTAGAATAAACTGATGGAATGGAAAGTGGGCTATATGGGAAAGAAAGACTTGATTATTTTCTTTTGGTGTGAGTTGTTGGTGTAGATGCAATCTGCTTCACTGTTACCACCTGAAGAACTGTTTCACCTGAGAAACTGAGTCCCCAAATTCCTCTTTACTTTTGGACTCAATTACACATCATATTAGCTAAGTGTTACTTTGTGAAAATACAATAAAGACTTCTTTACACAATACTTTTATAAACCTTTACATAGCAGCCCCATATAGTTTCCTAAAGGCAAGGCAGAACCAAAATTATATAAATTATAATGGCTAATGAGGCTAATGAATATTTAAATCCCTGGAACTCCATAAATTATGCAATATATTTCAGTCTCTAAGTATGCACTAGATGTGATTCAGATAATCTTGGAAAACACATTAACATTTGAAACAACTGGAAAAATTAAGTAACAAACAGAAAAAAGTATTCCTATCTCAGGTGAAATTTTAGCTCAACATATTATATTATTCTATGTCTGGATATCATCCAAGTCTCTGAGTCATTTGAAGACTTTTGAGAGATTTGATTGGTTTCTGCATAGTTTAATCACTACATAAGAAAAACACTTGCTACTGGAGAAAATGATTATATCAGGTTGTTGCTGTGTTTGAAAAACATACATGTATATTATAGCAATCTAAGAATCGCAATTTTTCTTGCTTTATTCATGCCAGAGAAAGAGACAAGGTTGCTTTATTTCTTGTATGGAAATGAATGGAAATTGGAGGAAAATTAGAACAGCTTTAAACGGACAAGGTTGTAGTTGGGAAAGTTATAACTGTCCTTGATTTGGGGGTAATAAGGTGAGAAGTTTGAAACACAAGCGTGGGCATGTGCATGCGCGCACACACACATATATAAGGTCTATATAAAGTCTTCATTGTTACCCTTGAATAACTGATTTCACATTGATTAAATTTTAATTAGTTGGGAAATGAGTTATATTTTTTCATTCAGCAAAAATTAAATTCAAAGGTATCATTTATAGCAATACATCATTTTGGATTTTAGAATGTAAATTCATATACATTATTTCATGTGTTCTTAATATATTTCTGTCTTGATCTCACATCCATTTCCTGCTCAAGTGTACATGCACAGGCACATGTGAAGAACCATGGCCATTTACCAACAAGAAACACAGAGCTAGTGTTGTGATTGAGCACCAGGAAAACTGGAAGTTGTTGTTAGGTAAATTAAGCCTGATTTTATGTCCACTAAATGGTTCTCAGAGATTGTTGCCTTCAGGCAAGGCCCCTTCTATTCATTTCCATCTGGCATATGAATGTAATTATTTAGTCATGTGTATGAAGGATGCATGCATAACCATATGTACCTTTGCTTTTTAGCTGTATTCCTTGGGTGATAATTATGTGACAAATTTGAAGTTATCTTTTTAAACTTACATTTTCTCAGTTAAAGTATCAAGATAATCAGCAGAGCAAAGCTTGCAAATATTTTCTATGAATATATATACTATAAAACTCTTCAATTTAGAATAAAATTGTTGAGGCTACTGAATGTAGTTTTGCATATTTTTATTATCATAAAATTACTATAATATAATAATTTTGTCTCTGTTATAAAATAATCATAATATTTTTATTTTTGTTTAAATTATCTCCCAAATAGTTCATGTAGATATAATCTTTGTGTTTTATAGGTAATAAATACATCAATGCGTTATGTATCTTGGGATGTATAGTTTTTAATAAATTCTTAATCTAACAATACATTATTTATATTTGGGATTTTATGCAGATATATTTACTTTTAGTAATAAAACAACTATATTCAATAAGAAAAAAAGCCTAAGTTTCTTTTTACTAAGGACTGCTAACCTAGTAATTTTTCCATTTTATAATAATACCAGGTAGGTTTCCTTTGTGATCATACTTTTTTTGTTTAAACAATGAGCATTAAAATAAATATATTACTGGAAATTTGTCAAATCAAATAGTTTAATTTTAGTTCACTTACAGGTAGACCTTGGATTTTAATGCTGGGTAACTTTATCTCAAGTCAAAAACTCATCTGAACCTGAAAAATGTACACATTCAAGGTTAGAGTGAAACTGACTTAAATTCAAGTGTTTTTCTCCTTTGTGTAGAGACTTTGTGATTCCAATTATGTGTCGAATAGAAGTGTCCACATTCTCCAATTGACTTATTTATTATATTTCTAAAGGAATTTTAGGGTCCAGTTAGAAGACTACTGCTACTTTCCTAAGCATTATAAAGAAATTTGCTGTGAAAGCAAATGTAAAAATCTGACTTGTTAGAATTTAAGTTTATTTATTTTTTAATATTAGAATTGCCTAAAAATTTTATTTTGGCCAGATTGTGGAGGTCTTAGAACACCAAACTGAATAATTAATCATACATTTATTTTTGATAATGAATATGAACATTGTTAAATGACTCCTTGAAAATACCTTCGGCAGCAACAAAAAATCACTTACTTCTAAGATTGAATGAAAAGATTATTAATAAGAAAAACTCAAAAATAGCATATTTGAATTAAGAAAGATTGTCTTAATTAGTTCTTCTCTTATATCAACATGAATTCCTTTTTAGATTAGATTCAGATTGCAAGTCTGAAAATAAAATAATTGCTTATATATTTGTATTTGTTTTCAAATCACAGAAAATACTCTCCAAGATGAGAAAGTATTTAAAACATCACTGTTAGTCACTTTTTTGTCTCCATACTGTATGTTTCATGGTACCATTTTCTTTAAAAACACATTTTTATCTTTACTGTGATTCAGAAATAGCCCTCTAGCTTTTTTGCCCCTCAGTTTGATTACATAGCAGGATAATCTAAAGAGCCACATCTCCTCTCTTTTAATATGTAAATTTCCTGACCTCTTTTTACCAATTTCTCCATTGCTTCAGTGTGTTTTAATGATTACAAAACATTAAAGCTGTTACTAGAAAAATGGCTTGTCATTGCCCGTAAAACCTATTTCAAGAAACATTTCTGTATATTTACTTTAGAACATGGATATTGAGTGCATTGATTTTACTTAAAGTTTTATTCTTGGGATGAACCAATTGTAGAGGATAAAACACATCAGCTTCCAATAAATTTATAGCACAGTTACAGGTAATAAGAACAGAATGGTTTTAGAGAGGTAATTCCAAGAACAGCCTTTATTCAAAATGTCAGTTGTCATTCATTTCCTACTCTTTAGAGATACTTTTGACTATTTAAAATAATAGTAGCCATAAGATTCACGGTTTCAGCAGCTTAGTGGTAGGGGTACTTGTTTGAGTAAGATCAAGGCCAAATTGTTTAGGTCCAAATGCCTGTATTTTATTCTAAAGTTACCTTTGGAAACTATCGTTTTAATTGTCCTCTCAGAAAGAATCCACTTCATAGGAGGCATTTGTATGTATTTATTAAAGTATGTATTTATTATTATTTTTCTGTGTGTGTGCATGCATGCACATATACACGTATGCCTGAATGCATTGAGGGCATTTAGCTTTAGTTTTTACATTTTTGTTATATAAGTACTTTTTGCAGAATCATTTATGGAGTAGTATAGTTTCATATATATTTCTCACTCATTTGAATCTTTAAAGAAACCTTTTGTATTACTTCTTTCTTCAAAAGTATAATATTTTTGAAAATATTTGTCTGAGCAAGACATCCATCTGTTCATCTAAACACGTTCGTCTAAACATGTTCATCTAATTTGAGTTAACAAAGGAAACTTTAGATCTATCCCAAATAGAAATCTTTGAGTTTAATAAATAGCTTCTGGAAACTCGAATGTCATTAAAAATATTAAAATATTAAAAGCATTCTTTAAAAATCTATCTTCTGGGACTCCCATATCCTATTGGCAGAGGTTGATTGCTAAATAATAAGCCAGAGAAGATGAACTGCATCTGAATTAACTGTTTTCTGAGAGTGCTAAAACTGACACCGGATTCTGTTTGCTTGTTTCTAGCAATTGAAAACAAGAGCTGCTAGAAACAAGAGGAACAACAGGATTTAAACTGATAAATAGATATACATCCCAACAGCAATCAGATAGCAGACAGAGAAAAACACTAATAAGACTCCCTTGCTTGCTTCTTACAACGAGTTTGGCTTAATAGGCATGTTTTCATTGACCTTCCTTACAGGATTACCACTTTGCTAGGAGGATGACTTGAATCTTAGATGTATTCATCCATGTCATCAAAAACGGTGTCATTATCAGAGATGGGGTTAGCTTACAGAGGCAACAAAAGCATAAGGAAAACATCCTCTCTAAAGATGAAGAATAGTAGAATACTTAAACAGTCTTGGGTCTGAAATTCACAGTATTATTTAAGTTGCTAGAATTTTAAATTTGTCCTTGTAAACTAAACAGCTTTTGCTAACTACTGCATGCCAGAGCATAGGTTTCTCACTGCATATAAATAAGGTTCTTTTGGAAATAGCATTAACTCTTTCAAGACTCTAAAATTACAAAGACTTATTAATTAATTCATATGTTGATGATAACTGTTGGCTAAAGTGTAAGCTACAGAGACAGCTCACTTAAAAGAGAAAACTGTCTCATTTGACATGGCAATGCAGTAGAGGAAAAAAAAAAGAGAAACGTAGCAGAGAAGA